CAACAAAACATTTCAGAAATTTTCAACAATATCAAAATAAAGTGAATGTTATCAGTACTTCAAGTAAAATTAGTCGTTTAGACATAAAACAATTCTAAATTGACATGAAGTTGTCTAAAATGTTATAGTGTGACAGGACCTGAAGGGGCTTAAGCTGCACATAGTCCTGTCAAAAAACAATTTCACATAAGTGGAATGTAAGTGTGGTGAAGCCAAATAAATGTAACATCTGCCTGCCATAAATAAGTTTCTGCCTGCTGAACTGACCCCACTGCTGCTTTGCTGCTCTCATCTTCATCAGYAGAACTGTTACATTAACAAGGTGGATTTATGACTGAACGAACGTCCATCTTTTTTATCATCTCTGTGGGTAACAATACATAAAAAACAAATTTTTTTATCCAACAACTTGGGTGTGAAAAAACTGTGGTTGTTAAAGCTTCGCTCTGCGCGACGTGCAGCGGGAGGGGGGAAAATGATCCCACCACACGACGTAACTTTTCTACACCAAGAGGGGGAAATGTTGAGGATTTTTTTTCTCTCTATACGTGCTTTAAAACACTATTCATTATATTTAGAAYTCCTCCTGCTCAGTTGTCTCTGCACTCGCAGCCCTGTTGACACGGGTGTGATGACGTAACTGACAACAGAACAGTAGAGGGGACATTTCCACCATAGTCYAACTTCATACTGTTTCTACAGTCTATCGCATATACCGTGCAGCCCTACGGCCTAGTTGTGTTCATCAGTATTTTCAATAATACTTTACAAATCCTACAGTGGTGAAATTTATTTTCACTGTAGAGAAGTTGGAAAAATGCCTATTATGCAGAGAAATACTTCAAGAGATAAACTGTAGGAAAATATGATATAATTTTATGAATTGTGATATAAACTTGTGGTACTGAGTTTGGGAGGAAGCTGTATCTTGAAAACATGTCTCCAAGTTGGCATTTCAGGTGTAAAGCAGATGGTATGTTTGGATCACAGATGACGACTGAAATCATGACCGTTAAGACTTCTCTGATTTTGAAAATGTGAATTTCTTTTGAATGTCCCCACCGCTTCCTTTTTTTAATTGATCACAAGCAGTTTGAGACATATGAAATTACTATCTGTGTTCAAGCTGTTAAGTAGATAAATGCCTAAAGCAGGGATCACCAGCTCCAGTCTCCAAAGGCTGTTGTACTGCATATTTTAGATGTTTCCCTGCTCCACCACACTTGACCCAAATGAATGGATCATTAACAGATGTGTGGATGTGTGATGACAAGCCACTAGAACAATTTGCACTGAACCAGGTGTGCTGCAGCAACTCCTAAAGCTGCAGGACAGGAGTTGCTGATCTAGTTTGATCTGGATGTCTGGATGCGTCATTCTCATTGTGGTCAAGTCTCAGTTCTATCTGAGGCCTTTTGCTGTGTTTCCAGTCTGTTTCACGTCACAAATGTGAACAGTTACAAATGCTTGTTTTCTGTGTTKTATAGGATCAAACACGTCACACTCGTCGCCTACAGAAACTCAAAGCCCATCATGATAGATGTGAGGCTCGTTACATGAATCGTTGTGTAAAGACACCAAATGAAGAGAAGGAGGGGAGGTCTTTTCTACATCAGAAGGGTTTAATGGTTAGTTTTGCTTCACCTTTTTACTGATTTACATCCTTGATATGAGAACTGTTATGGGTGTGTCATCAGTAAATATTTATCAGTGTATGTATGGCTTGAGCTGTTTAACTGCTATAATTATGAAATCAACTCAAAATTAGACAACCATAAATAATGTTAGATCAAAAAGTCTGTTCAACTTTTAAAACTTTCATTAAACAAAAACGGCTGTCAGTTATCCATTACAAGACTTCAAGGGCCAAAGTCATGGTGCAGACACTGTGCTTATCAGAGAAGAATTGCATGTGGGCACACAGGACTCTAGAGCAGTGGTTTTTTATC